ACAAAAAAAAAAAAAACGCAAACCCTGGCCCCCCCCCAAGCTTTATTCCCCCAGACCCGGGGGGAAAAAAAAAAAAAAAAAAAAAGAATGCAAAGGAGTAGTTTCTGGAGAGGAGTGGGCGACTTAAGGATTCAGCTTTCCCGTTATATGCAAAACACTTATTGAATATGTAAGTATAAGTGTTAAGGAAGTGATTGGATATATAAATCTAGAGTTCAAGAACTAAGATAAAACTAGACATGTAAATACAGTAGTTAGTATCTAGTTAGTATCTAGTGTTTTTCAAGCTATGAGATATAACTTCTTTTTAAGTCATGAAATCAATTTATTGGTTTGGGACCAGGATTTTAATATTAATGGAAAAGTTCAATTATATACAACATATACACATAAGTACCTATGTATGCTTTGGGTCACAATATAAAATGTTTTTTTATTGTTGTTGTATGTGTATGTTTACCATGGTTGCAGTGAAAAACATTGAAAAATATTAATATAGTGAGTGTAAATAGAGCAGGGACCTGGGAGCTGAGCCTAGAGAATGCCGATGTTTAATGCTTTTCTTTCTTTTTTTTTTTAAAATTTATTTATTTATTTTTGGCTGCATTGGGTCTTCGTTGCTGCACGCAGGCTTCCTCTAGTTGCAGTGAGTGGGGGCTACTCATCGTTGTGGTGCACAGGCTTCTCGTTGCGGAGCACGGGCTCTAAAGCTCAGGCTCAGTAGTTATGGCGCACGGGCTTAGTTGCTCCGCGGCACGTGGGATCTTCCTGGACCAGGGCTCAAACCTGTGTCCCCTGCAGTGGCAGAAGGATTCTTAACCACTGTGCCACCAGGGAAACCCAGTGCCGATGTTTAGAGGTCAGAGAAATGAGGAAGAACAAAGGAGGTGAAGGAGTGGTAAATTAAATATGGAAAGGACAAACGATTGCATCACAGAAGCCAATAATAAGTGTATCAAGAAGAGAATATATTAAACTGTGTCAGATGTTTCTGATAAGAAAGTTTAGAAGTGCAAATAAATCATTGGATTTTACAATGTGAAATCATTGGTGACTTTCACAAGAATACATTTGGTGGGATAGTAAAGACAAACTGATTACACTGGTTTTGAGAGGGAGTGAAGGAGAAGAATGAGGAATTGTTTTGAGTCTTACTTGAAAGAGGAGAAGTACAGTGGTAGCTAAAGGGTGATGTAGGGAGTCAAGTAGTGGATTTTTGTTGTTGCTGGTTTGTTTTTGTTTAAGATCAAGGATATCACATCGTATTTCTATGCTAATAAAAGTGATTGAGGAGAAAGGGAAAAAAATAGCTGATTAGAGAGAGGGGGGAACAGTTGCTGGAGCAATGTCCTTGAGTAGATGAGAAGAGATGCAGTCCGCTGAAAAGTTGCCATTAGATAGGAGCATGGTAGTTTAATCCATTAAAACAGGAAGGAAGGTAAGAATATTTGACTCATGATTCAGGTATGTTTTCAGATGCAGTATTTGGAGACTGTGGAAGTTCTTCTCTGATTTCTTCTGTTTTCTCAGTAAAATAAAAAGCAAAGTCGGCACCTGAGAATGAGAAGGGAAGAGAAGATGCTGGAGCTTTAAGGAGAAAACAAGAAAACAAAGGGCTAAGAGGAGGAATAAGAAATGGAAAAGCCAAGGGAAATTGAGTAGAATCACCCAGTATCACTAATGGCTCATTTCAAGGGTAGTGGTTGTGAATTTAAAATGAGACCAGTCAGCTTGGTTTTTTATTTTTCTCTTCAATTAAGTTCAGCTACACCGGCACAGAGTAGGCAAAGTTAATTGTAAACACAGGTGAAATTTGGTTAGATGGTATGGTGGTGAATAGAAAGGAGAGAATTACAAGGTAGTTGAGTCTGTTTTTTTGTTTGTTTGTTTTAAACCACACAGTTCTTTTCATTATTTGTTATCCATTTCTAATCTAAATGAATATACAAAAGAAAGTGATCTTTATGATACCAGTTTTTCAGAATTTCAGAAGTTTGTTTTGTGACTTAATGTATGGTCAGGTTTTTGTTGTTTGCTTGTAATCATCCTTATTGAGGTGTAATTTACATGAAAGTTACATTCCCTAATTATAAGTGCAAAATTTAGTGAATTTGAACAAATGTTTGCATGTATGAAACCAACACCACAATCAAGATTTAAAACATTTCCATCACCTCCAAAGTGTTTTCATGTCCCTTTGGAGCCAGTCTCCTCCATTTTATATTGTTGGGTTCTACAATATTTAATAATACTTCGCCAAGACTGTTTGGGGAATTCCCAGGTTCAGTCCCTGTTGGGGAACTAGGATCCCACAAACTACATGGTGTGGCCGAGAAAAAAAGAATATTTGTCTGTATTCTGTTTTCATGTGGAATGTTATCCCTAGCTTTATTTTCTTATAATGTCTTTGGTTTTGATATTAGGATAATGCTGGTCTTATAAAATGCTGAAATATATTCCCTCTTCTATTTTCAGGAAGAATTTATGTCATACTGGTATTATTTCAGACTTAAATATTTTGTAGAATTAGATAATGAATCTTACTGGGCCTAGAGTTTACCTTGTT